ATACACCCTACCATACACGCTACCATACACCCTACCATACACCCTACCATACACGCTACAATACACGCTACCATACACCCTACCATACACGCTACCATACACCCTACCATATGCCCTACCATACACGCTACCATACACCCTACCATACACCCTACCATACACGCTACCATACACCCTACCATACACGCTACCATACACCCTACCATACACCACTACCATACACCCTACCATACACCCTACCATACACCCTACCATACACACTACCATACACCCTACCATACACCACTACCATACACCCCTACCATACACACTACCATACACCATTACCATACACCCTACCATACACCCTACCATACACACTACCATACACCCTACCATACACCCTACCATACACCCTACCATACACCCCTACCATACACACTACCATACACCCTACCATACACCCTACCATATACACCATACCAGTTTCAAGTGTAGATATGATAGAGCCCAGTAGGCTCAGGAACCTGTACACCAGTTGATTGACAGTTGAGAGGCGGGACCAAAGAGCCAGAGCTTAATCCCCGCAAGCAAAACTAGGTGAATACATAAAATTTACCTAATTCCCTGTTACCTATTCACGGCTAGGTGAACAGTAGCATCAGGTGCAAGGAATCGTGCCCGACCATATTTGTCTCGTCTGGGGATCGAACCAGGGATCCTATATTGCAAGTCGCGACTTAGGCCATATAATTTATCACGTGGTTTTGTGATTATTCTTTCACTGTATAGTGTAGGTTAAATATAATAAATATTTAAGTCCATCGGTTGAACTCATCGTTAACAATATTTCGTTTTCTTTAACTTTCCGGGATCCTTGTATGATAGAAAACAGCATTGTCTCCAATTTAAGGACTCTCTCAAGAAAACTATAAATTTTCTTCATGCCGGATGATACATTGATTGGAATTTTACATAGTTCTGCGTTTTAATAAGTATTTTTTTTACCGTCAAGCTTGTAGTCTGTACTGAATATCTCTGCTCGTAGCTGAAGCCATAACCCCATGTAATCTTCTACCGTTAGGTTGTATGACTTGTGGAACTAGTGAAAGCTCTCCAAGTAAGTGTAAAAAGCAAACCAACATTTGGATCCTGTAAAGCCTCCAGAACTGTAAACACAAGCAGTGATGTTGATGGTGGGGGACATGCCGGCTGCCCAGTGCTATATCAGACCCTGCTCTCACGCTGTGTGTAGATAACGAGACATTGTCCATCGGCAGGACATCGTCGCCTTGAGCAGTGCCCGTCCCGGACCAGCTGTCTCTCTAACATGATTGTCTCGGCTACAGAGAACTGTAGGTCCGTCACTGCAGGGGTCTGTGCTCCGCCACACTTGTTTACCATGAGAGACCATGACCTCGCCTCGTGTAGGGTCGACGTTCCATCACCGATGAGCCAAAGTGACCGAACACCGTTCACAGACTCCGTCCTCACATCCCAGCTTCTGGTCCTCGTATCATTTGCAAGTGCGATATAATCATACAAGCTTAGCGCTCTCTTCTGAGAATAAACGGAGGCTGCATTACATATCTCTTAGCACCAAAATGCTGCAGATACAGTTTTTTTTTCTATCACAGACGTGGCCACACATTTACAATGCTAACCAGCATATATACATTTTCTTCCGTCCTCCATGGACAAGGTTAGAGATGTGTTAAACATATAGTTCAAGGGTTTATTGAACAATCAACCACAGAAGATGATTCGGTGCTTTTAAAATGCTAAGCTAACCTACATACGTAAATACATAGATACACAGATTTATATATGCCCTACATAAAGTGTTCGATGTGTCATTAATGTGCATTTACAAAGGTGAAATGTAATTCTGATCAGCTTCCATATATACTTTATACACATACATGTACATACAGTGGCCGCTACCCAAGCAACGGTCCCAAGCGGTCGCATGTCGACGGGTAGAAATATCCCCAGACTCTTCTACGCTAACAGGGCATACTAAACTATTAGTACATGTTGCACGTTACCTAATATTGAGTTGACTTACCGCAAATGGCCAAATATTCCCCACAGTGATCACCACACAAGTACCTCCGGGAGGGTCAGAAATGGGTTGGGCACGTTACGTTTCGCCTGATGCACCTGTTCACCTAGCAGTAAATAGGTTACCCTCGGAGTTAGGCAACCGTTGTGGGGGGGGGGGGGGGGTTGCATCCTGGAAAAGGTCAGTAGTTCTATCCGGACAACGGGAATTATATCACTCATCCACCACCATCACCCATAAATGATGAGTGAATAGCATGCTCATCCACCTTGCGGTGAATGAGCATGCACTCACCCACCGCATGCCCTTGCACCAACCATAGCTCGGTTATTCAACAAATCTCTAGTGTCATACATTCCCTGATTTCCTTAAAAAAAAATACACGAATAACGCCAGTGCATAAAGGAGGCAATACGGCAGACATAAACAATTACAGACCCATATCAAATCTATCTATATTATCAAAAATGTTTGAAAAAATTATTTACAAACAGCTCTACTCCTACCTCATAAAATTCAACATATTAAGTCCTTGTCAGTTTGGTTTCCGCTCCTAAAAGAGTACCAACGATGCAATAATTAGTCTGCTTAATAACATTTACACAGCCCTTGACAAAAATGAGTTCCCAATTGGACTCTTCATTGACCTGAGAAAGGCCTTTTTTTACTGTTAAACATAACTACCTCTGACATGAACTTCGCCATTATGGAATCCAAGGCCTTGCCCTGAGCTATATTCGATCTTATCTTAGTGACAGACACCAATATGTAGCCATCAATGATATAACCTCTCCTACTCTACCATTAACCGTAGGAGTGCCGCAAGGCAGCATCCTAGGACCTCTCCTATCTCTTATATACATCAATTATCTTTCTAATGTCGTTAACATTCTTAAACCTATATTGTTTGCTGATGATACTACCTTCATCTACTCACACCCCAACCCACACACATTAAATAATGTTGTAAATAACGAATTAAAAAAAAGTCCACTCATGGATGGCAACCAACAAACTCTCACTAAACATAGAAAAAACATATTATATTATGTCATATTATTTGGAATCAAATCAACAAATGCAATTCAGCTTCAGATAGACAATGTTAACATCAGCAATAAGAAGGATGGAAAGTTCCTTGGCCTATACTTACACAAGAGACTCAACTTCAGCACCCACATACAACACATTACCAAAAAAAGTATCCAAAACGGTCGGTATACTTTCTAAAATCAGATATTATGTTCCCCACTCTGCTCTCCTCTCATTATACTACGCGCTAATCTATCCCTATCTTACATACGGAATCTGTGCATGGAGTTCACCCGCTGCAAAGCCAGCAAAAATTTGCTATCAGAACAATAAAAAACTCTAATTTCAGACAACACTCAGTCCCCCTCTGTTTAATCCCTCAACATGCTAAACATAAACTCACTCCACACATCTAATTGTACCATTTTCATGTTGTACAAAATCTTGTTCCTAGATGCAAACCCTGCTCTGAAACTCTTCCTTGACAGATGTAACAGAATCCATAATCACCACACCAGAAATAAATATCTCTGATATCCCCAGAGTCAAACTAAATCTGTGTAAACACTATGCAAATAAAGTTACCTAGTCTATGGAACTCACTCCTTAACGAATTAAAAAGCTGTCCAACCTTCCCCCTTATTCAAAAGTAACACCAAAAAGTACCTAATTTCATCCTCATAGTTTTCTACCTAGTGCTTCACCCTCGCCCTGTATCGTGTACCTCCCCAGAATATGTGCGTAAGCTATGTTAACTTCACCGTTGTAATCACTGCCGCCATCTTATATCATTGGTTATATTGAATGCAAATTTTACTACAATGTACCTAGAAATAATCCTGAAATTAATCTTCAATGTACCTATCGATAATCCTCAAATTTTACTGAAATGTACCGACTAATTGTCTTCAAAATTTCTTACAATGTACCTGTTAACTTTTTTCAATTTTGCTACAAATTACCTATTTAAAATTATCTGTTAGATTAAGGACCTGCCTCAAACGCTATGCATATTAATGGCTTTACAAGAATGTAAAAACATCAATGCTATGTACTCTCATAAACCCAATGTACCTTCTTGTATATTTATAAATAAATAAACTCACACCTGCACACAACCCAAAGTGCTAACCCCCCCCCCTCCCCCCTCCCATCCACACCCCCTCCTTCCACCGGGAATATATTCCTTTGACTCAAATAGTTATGGCTTTAACGAAGCGAACACTAGTCTTGTTGTAGCTGTTGTGTTATAATTTAGCTTTTATGGCGTTCGAATTCTTTGTTGAATCTGGTCATTAAGTTGTTGATGGAGGTGGCTTCCCCAGCTTCTTCCTTCAGTGCTTGCTGCTTGTTCACTCTTGCAGGGGACCAATATTTCCTTATATTTCTTTTCGGAGATTGTGATTACTGTAGTTATTGTTGCGGTGATGGTGAAGGTGGTGGTTGTGGTGAAGGTGGTGGTGGTGGTGGTGATGGTGATGAAGGTGGCTTTGATAAATGTGGTGGGGGTGAAGGTGTGTCCCAGAGGGTGGTGGTGGTTGTAGTGGTTGTGGTGGAGCTGGTAGTGGTGTATGTGGTGCTGTTGGTGGAGGTGGTGGTGGTGGTGGTGGTGGAGAGCGCGCGGTGAAGCAATGGTCATCTCAGCCACAGGACGCACTACAGATAACACCACAGATAAAAAATCCCAGATCCTGACCGCCTGCTTCTCGCCCACAACTAAAAAAAAAAGAAAAGAAAGAAAAGAAAAGAAAGAGATTTTAACTCTCAACGTTTTCCCCCTAATTTCTCCAAATGTATCCTGACATTTTTGCATATATCCACAGAAGATCGTAAAGAAAATATTGTCACAGACGTAATTTATCCAAATTAACTGCTAAATTCAACAATACAATCCGCTATCATTCTATCAACACCATTTCCTCTGACGTTGAAGGTTCGTTTGAAACACGAAAGCAGTCGACAGCTGGCCAGTGCCATGAAGAGTTGAGGCTGAGGTTTATCTAGGAATTTCTGTGCCTCCAGCACCTAAAGATTCCTGAGTGTGTGTTACGCCTGCCGGGACGACACAACCCTCACAGTAAGTAGCAGCGTCTCTTGCCTGGTCGTGACGCACAGTTCCTTGTACTCACAGGTTACAGGAGTTGTATAATTTGTCAACATGATTGTTGTCGTCCATGTCCACGTCTGCAGCATTTTCTCATGTTGATCAGTAGATTTATAATACATTCTGACACTGTGCTCATGTCACGAGATACTAATGTGTATATATATATATATATATATATATATATATATATATATATATATATATATATATATATATATATATATATATATATATATATATATATATATATATATATATATATATATATATATATATATATATATATATATATATATATATATATATATATATATATATATACACACACACACACACACACACACACACACACACACACACACACCGTAACCTCCACTCTCCAACACACAGTAACCTCCACTCTCCAACACACAGTAACCTCCACTCTCCAACACACAGTAACCTCCACTCTCCAACACACAGGTGGGGTCGGTCCACATGCACCGATTTTATATTACAAACACTTGGGAAGGTTTTTGGTTCACTTAAGAAATTGTAATCATTCAATTGACTGGACTAATTCATGCAAAATTGTGGAGTGTAAATCAGTTACTAAAAGAAATATTATTGATTCTTCGTTTATAAAAATGTAGTGAATTAGATATTATTATACTGCAAGTCCAGGATTATATAAATTAGATCACTTTATAATTGGTAAGATTTGTAATAGATATACAGTTATGTAAACAGTGTGTGTGTGTAGTACAGAGCTCCCTCCCTCAACACGTCCCTACCAGCGAGTGATGTCTCAGTCTGCCACCGGACTGCCAATAGACTGGGAACAATCGTCAAAGCAGATTGGATACGAGCTTTGAACAGGCTCGCGACAATCTGGATACGGGCTGCCAACAGGCTCACAACAGTCTGGATACGGGCTGCCAACAGGCTCACAACAGTCTGGATACGGACTGCCAACAGGCTCACAACTGTCTGGATATGGACTGCCAACAGGCTCACAACAGTCTGGATACGGGCTGCCAACAGGCTCACAACAGTCTGGATACGGACTGCCAACAGGCTCACAACAGTCTGGATACGGACTGCCAACAGGCTCACAACAGTCTGGATACGGACTGCCAACAGGCTCACAACAGTCTGGATACGGACTGCCAACAGGCTCACAACAGTCTGGATACGGACTGCCAACAGGCTCACAACAGTCTGGATACGGACTGCCAACAGGCTCACAACAGTCTGGATACGGGCTGCCAACAGGCTCACAACAGTCTGGATACGGACTGCCAACAGGCTCACAACAGTCTGGATACGGGCTGCCAACAGGCTCACAACAGTCTGGATACGGACTGCCAACAGGCTCACAACAGTCTGGATACGGACTGCCAACAGGCTCACAACAGTCTGGATACGGACTGCCAACAGGCTCACAACAGTCTGGATACGGGCTGCCAACAGGCTCACAACAGTCTGGATACGGACTGCCAACAGGCTCACAACAGTCTGGATACGGACTGCCAACAGGCTCACAACAGTCTGGATACGGACTGCCAACAGGCTCACAACAGTCTGGATACGGACTGCCTGGAGAACATCGAGGACAGTCTCCACTTAAATATAAATATTATACAGGTGAAGGGAATTCCCACATTACTACTGATATCTGAAAAGAAAACGGGAAGTTCTTGCGGAGAAGACCCAAATGTAATTAACAAGAATAATACGATAAATTGTAATACAAATAAAATAATAATTATAATAATAATAATAATGACAAAATCCCCATAGGGCTGTGAGGTGGGCTCGAACCAACGACCTCGGCACTGCCAGTCGCAATGACAATAATAATAATCATCCAGTATTCATAAAGCGCTACACTTGCACTGAAAGGTATACTCCTCACAGCTCGGTGCACACACATAGTTTACTTCAATCGTGGCTTTATGACCAAAGGTAAAGTAAGTATACTTGCTGGTTGGTCAGTAAGCTGTTGTTTACCGCTTTAATGACTCTCCTGCAGTTGATGGGGCTTAATGACTCTCCTGCAGTTGATGGGGCTTAATGACTCTTCTGCAGTTGATGGGAATTAATGACCCTCCGGCGGTTGATAGGACTTAATAATTGGGAAGCCCTATCAAGCGATAGGGCGCCTGACAGCTGGGAGGGCGCCTGATAGCTGGGAGGGCGCTTGTCAGCTGGGAGGGCGTCTGACAGCTGGGAGGGCGCCTGACAGCTGGGAGGGCGTCTGACAGCTGGGAGGGCGTCTGACAGCTGGGAGGGCGCCTGACAGCTGGGAGGGCGTCTGACAGCTGGGAGGGCGCCTGACAGCTGGGAGGGCATCTGACAGCTGGGAGGGCGCCTGACAGCTGGGAGGGCGTCTGACAGCTGGGAGGGCGTCTGACAGCTGGGAGGGCGTCTGACAGCTGGGAGGGCGTCTGACAGCTGGGAGGGCGCCTGACAGCTGGGAGGGCGTCTGACAGCTGGGAGGGCGCCTGACAGCTGGGTGGACAGCGCTTCGGGTTCGTTGTCCTGAGGTTCCGGGTTCGATCCTCGGTGGAGGCGGAAAGAAATGAGCAAAATGTTTCTTTCACCCTGATGCCCTCTGTTACCTAGCAGCAAATAGGTACCTGGGAGTTAGCTGCTACGGGCTGCTTCCTGGGGGGGTGGAGGCCTGGTCGAGGACCGGGCCGCGGGGACACTAAGCCCCGAAATCATCTCAAGATAACGTCAAGAAGCGGGACGGATCCTTCACATGGTCGTCCCTCAAGAACGCCTCGACCACCTCTGCGCCAACGACACCTTGAAGAAATTCGACCAAACTACCAACTTCAGGGAACTGGGATAAGGAAATCAATCCTCTTGTAACACCCGGACATCTCCCCCTAGACCAGCCGACTGTGGCCAGCCCCGCCGACAGCCCCGCCGACAGCCCCGTCGACAGCCCCGCCGACAGCCCCGCCGACAGCCCCGCCGACAGCCCCGCCGACAGCCCCGTCGACAGTCCCGCCGACAACCCCGTCGACAGCCCCGTCGACAGCCCCGCCGACAGCCCCGCCGACAGCCCCGCCGACAGCCCCGTCGACAGCCCCGCCGACAGCCCCGCCGACAGCCCCGCCGACAGCCCCGTCGACAGCCCCGCCGACAGCCCCGCCGACAACCCCGTCGACAGCCCCGTCGACAGCCCCGCCGACAGCCCCGCCGATAACCCCGCCGACAGCCCCGCCGACAGTCCCGCCGACAGCCCCGTCGACAGCCCTGCTGACCCCTGTGACACTCAACTGTGAGTGACGTGGTGGTGTTTTAGATTCAGCTACTCGGAACAGAAAGTTCCAAGTAGCACGGGCTATGGTGACCCCGTAGGTGGAGGCTCTTTGGAGCTATTATCAGCACCAATAGCTAATACTGGCGCTATGAGCAACGTGTGTACCCCATCAGTTCACCGGCCTGACCTGTCTTATGGTCTTGGATTAGCGCGTCCACGGACCCCATCCCTAGGTCTCCAGTATCAGAAATTGATACTGAAAATGGCTCCAGAGAGCCTCCACCTACGGGCTCACCATAGCCCGTGCTACTTGGAACTTTCTGTTCCATATAGCTGAATCTAAAACAACAACAACAATGGTTGATAGGACTTAATTAACAAGCCTCCGAGTTAATGCCCCTCTGGCAGTGTGAGCGGAAAGCAGCTCCCATGGAAAGGATGGAGAAACACAGATATCTGGTGACGGTTGATATTCCAAGGTCTTCCCTTCCACATACACACACACACAGCTGCATCACTACACATTATCGCCGCCATATACTATAGTCAAGTACTTCACAATCTCAGCCATTACATAAACTGTAAGTGCTCCATTTGGATAATTCACATATACACAATTTTTGTCACATTTCCCCCTCCTAATTGCTTTAGGACTGCTTTGTTCAGTGCTAATTTTTTGGTGTTATTGACAATCAATACGTGTGCTGCTAATTATTCACTCTAATTGCCAATCTTTATGACCCCTTCATTTCTTTTGTCATATTTATTCGAGTAATTTTTATTCATCACTTTTATCATCATCCATTCGTTCAACCTGGCCACACCGACGTAGGAAACATTCAATTTTCAAATCAGAGTTTCTCTCATTCTCCTAAAAATTTCTCCTTTATTCTTGAATAAGTTGTACAGATACAAAGAGAAACTTGACAATTTCATGAAATAGCGGGACGAGTAGAAGGTTAGGTTAGGTAAGATTAAATTAGGTAAAGTAAAGGTAAGGTAAGGTAAGGTAAGGTTAGGTAAAGTAAGGTAAGGTAAACAATGAACAAATCCACAAGGGTCGTGTGAGGGTTCGAACCTACGTCCGAAGTAATCCCAGACGCGCCTTAGTCGATTGCGCCACGACTTAGTCAAAAGAATTGCAACCGGGAGTGCTACAGCCCTCACTCGGATCCTGCAGCCTCTCCGAGACACAATCCAGGGTTTGTTCATTTGATGTATCACACTATTGTGATTTCTGTGTGTATTAAAGTAAGAGGCGAAGAGGTAGAACAGCTTGTTGACAGCAACCCGTCCTCTTAAAAATAACGTCACTTTTCGCTCGTATGCGCACTATGGCCAAATTTGGACGTAGTTTGAAATGAAATCGACTCACAAAAGTGACGTTCTGTTCCGTTTTCTATTTGAGTCGTCCGGCTTACGCTCAGAGGTTATAAGAGGACACTTTAAATTAACGTTTTTCATAACGTTTTGAAACTTTATGAGAATTTCCTGCCCACCTAACCTACCAGAGGACCCTTAACTTACTGTTGTTGAAAAAAAAATCCCAAATTTATTTTCATTTTTTTTTCATTTTCAAATTACGTCCAAATTCGGCCATACGGGCAAACGGCCAAAAGCGACGGTCTTTTTAAGAGGACAGGTTGCCCGGGTGCATGTGGGAATTGCATAAAATCCCAGTTTGTGTCTCGGAGAGGCTGCAGGATCCGTGCGAGGGCAGTAGCACCCCCGGTTGCAATTATTTTTACCCTGTTTAGTTGTGGCGCAGTCGTCTAAGGGGGTGGTCAGTATGGGGCGCCTCACAGGCTCCAACACTGTGTCGTTATCATGAGGTTGTCACTACACACTCACGCCCTGACGCGGGCGTGCTCCCGCAGATGACGCTGGGGAAGGCGTACCACGTGACGGACGGGGAGCCCCGCCACCGACGTCACCCCGTAGGGTGGTGTGGGGTCAGGTTCCTGGTCATCATGTCCGTCATCTGCTGCACCATCATCTACCTCATCGGCGCCATCATCACCGGGATCACCTACCGCACCTATGGTCTCTTAGGTGAGTGACAAGTGGTGGGGAGAGAGAGAGAGAGAGAGAGAGAGAGAGAGAGAGAGAGAGAGAGAGAGAGAGAGAGAGAGAGAGAGAGAGAGAGAGAGAGAGAGAGAGAGAGAGAGAGAGAGAGAGAGAGAGAGAGAGAGAGAGAGAGAGAGAGAGACAGAGAGAGAGAGAGAGAGAGAGAGAGAGAGAGAGAGAGAGAGAGAGAGAGAGAGAGAGAGAGAGAGAGAGAGAGAGAGAGAGAGAGAGAGAGAGAGAGAGAGAGAGAGAGAGAGAGAGAGAGAGAGAGAGAGAGAGAGAGAGAGAGAGAGAGAGAGAGAGAGAGAGAGAGAGAGAGAGAGAGAGAGAGAGAGAGAGAGAGAGAGAGAGAGAGAGAGAGAGAGAGAGAGAGAGAGAGAGAGACAGAGAGAGAGAGAGAGAGAGAGAGAGAGAGAGAGAGAGAGAGAGAGAGAGAGAGAGAGAGAGAGAGAGAGAGAGAGAGAGAGAGAGAGAGAGAGAGAGAGAGAGAGAGAGAGAGAGAGAGATGGAGAATGGCAGCGTAAAATATATTTTTTTGTAACCTATGCAATGCAATAATGATTTGTTTTCTTTGTCGTGTGCGTGACAAGTTCTCTCCTCCACTACAGCCAATTGTACGGACCCGCGAGACTTCACGCCGGTCACCATGTACGCCTACACCACCCCGCTGGTAGTGGTTGGGCCGTGCTTCATGTCAGCCGGGGGATCCATACTCATCTTTCTCCTCTTTCAATGGTGCTTCTGCCGCCCAGGGATCAACTAGCTGACGCACCTGCCACCGCCACCCGTCACCACCGTCATCCGTCACCCGTCACCACCGCTGCAGGGGACAGCGCCTCTCCTGGTATTGTCTGAGGGTGTGCCATCCAGCAGGCACTGTCTGAGGGTGTGCCATCCAGCAGGCACTGTCTGAGGGTGTGTCATCCAGCAGGCACTGTCTGAGGGTGTGCCATCCAGCAGGCACTGTCTGAGGGTGTGCCATCCAGCAGGCACTGTCTGAGGGTGTGTCATCCAGCAGGCACTGTCTGAGGGTGTGCCATCCAGCAGGCACTGTCTGAGGGTGTGTCATCCAGCAGGCACTGTCTGAGGGTGTGTCATCCAGCAGGCACTGTCTGAGGGTGTGTCATCCAGCAGGCACTGTCTGAGGGTGTGCCATCCAGCAGGCACTGTCTGAGGGTGTGCCATCCAGCAGGCACTGTCTGAGGGTGTGTCATCCAGCAGGCACTGTCTGAGGGTGTGCCATCCAGCAGGCACTATCTGAGGGTGTGCCATCCAGCAGGCACTGTCTGAGGGTGTGTCATCCAGCAGGCACTGTCTGAGGGTGTGTCATCCAGCAGGCACTGTCTGAGGGTGTGTCACCCAGGAGGCACTGTCTGAGGGTGTGCCATCCAGCAGGCACTGTCTGAGGGTGTGTCATCCAGCAGGCACTGTCTGAGGGTGTGTCATCCAGCAGGCACTGTCTGAGGGTGTGTCATCCAGCAGGCACTGTCTGAGGGTGTGTCATCCAGCAGGCACTGTCTGAGGGTGTGCCATCCAGCAGGCACTGTCTGAGGGTGTGTCATCCAGCAGGCACTGTCTGAGGGTGTGTCATCCAGCAGGCACTGTCTGAGGGTGTGTCATCCAGCAGGCACTGTCTGAGGGTGTGTCATCCAGCAGGCACTATCTGAGGGTGTATATTCCAGCAGGCACTATCTGAGGGTGTGTCATCCAGCAGGCACTGTCTGAGGGTGTGTCATCCAGCAGGCACTATCTGAGGGTGTATATTCCAGCAGGCACTGAGGGTGTATATTCTAGCAGGCACACTCAGGGCGAGTGCCACCCAGCAGGCACTGTCTGAGCGAGTGGCACCCAGCAGGCACTGAGTGTGTGATTGGCACCCAGCAGGCACTGAGTGTGTGAGTGGCACCCAGCAGGCACTGAGTGTGTGAGTGGCACCCAGCAGGCACTGAGTGTGTGAGTGCCACCCAGCAGGCACTGTCTGAGCGAGTGGCACCCAGCAGGCACTGAGTGTGTGAGTGCCACCCAGCAGGCACTGAGTGTGTGAGTGGCACCCAGCAGGCACTGAGTGTGTGAGTGGCACCCAGCAGGCACTGAGTGTGTGAGTGCCACCCAGCAGGCACTGTCTGAGCGAGTGGCACCCAGCAGGCACTGAGTGTGTGATTGGCACCCAGCAGGCACTGAGTGTGTGAGTGGCACCCAGCAGGCACTGAGTGTGTGAGTGCCACCCAGCAGGCACTGTCTGAGCGAGTGGCACCCAGCAGGCACTGAGTGTGTGAGTGGCACCCAGCAGGCACTGAGTGTGTGAGTGGCACCCAGCAGTCTTCACAAGGAAGCCAGCCAAGTTATCATCTACCGGCTGCTCCGGCACCAGCCTCTTCTCCAGATTTGAGAAGCGTCGAATTTCAAGTGTTAAGCAAGAAACGGAAGAAACGAAGCAACTCACTTAACCTACTGAAGCTGATGGTCGTAAACCCCCAAGAGCCGTTAATATTACCACACTTCCAATATCACTAAAACCAAGATAATACTTACGCTGAAATCGGTAACGAAAACATTGCCTTAAAGCCTTAAGTATGAGGACAGGTTGCAGGAACGTCCAGCTGGTTGTTTTGAGGTTAGTTCTGTCATTACTAACCCATTCTACCCGTAGAATAGCTAACATAACAACTGATCCCTTTAAGATATCAAGCACCAAAATCCTTTACTACTTCTGATATTCTGAAGTATGCCCTTGAAAACTGAAGAACTTCCGCCTCTGATACCCAGTAAAAGTTAAATACAGCAAGTTCCAGAATCGTATTGGAGTATTATATATATATATATATATATATATATATATATATATATATATATATATATATATATATATATATATATATATATATATCGTACCTAGTAGCCAGAACTCACTTCTCAGCCTACTATGCAAGGCCCGATTTGCCTAATATGCCAAGTTTTCCTGAATTAATGTATTTTCTCTAATTTTTTTCTTATGAAATGATAAAGCTACCCATTTCATAATGTATGAGGTCAATTATTTTTTATTGGAGTTAAAATTAACGTAGATATATAACCGAACCTAACCAACCCCACCTAACCTAACCTAACCTATCTTTATAGGTTAGGTAGCCGAAAACGTTAGGTTAGGTAGTCGAAAAACAATTAATTCATGAAAACTTGGCTTATTAGGCAAATTGTGTCATGCATAGTAGGCTGAGAAGTGCGTTCTGGCTACTAGGTACGACATATATATATATATATATATATATATGTCGTACCTAGTAGCCAGAACTCACTTCTCAGCCTACTATTCAAGGCCCGATTTGCCTAATAAGCCAAGTTTTCCTGAATTAATATATTTACTATAATTTTTTTCTTATGAAATGATAAAGCAACCCTTTTCTCTATGTATGAGGTCAATTTTTTTTTTATTGGAGTTAAAATTAACGTAGATATATGACCGAACCTAACCAACCCTACCTAACCTAACCTAACCTATATTTATAGGTAAGGTTAGGTTAGGTAGCCAAAAAAAGCTAGGTTAGGTTAGGTTAGGTAGGTTAGGTAGACGAAAAAACATTAATTCATGAAAACTTGGCTTATTAGGCAAATCGGGCCTTGAATAGTAGGCTGAGAAGTGCGTTCTGGCTATTAGGTACGACATATATATATATATATATATATATATATATATATATATATATATATATATATATATATGTCGTACCTAATAGCCAGAACGCACTTCTCAGCCAACTATTCAAGGCCCGATTTGCCTAATAAGCCAAGTTTTCATAAATTAATGTTTTTTTCGTCTACCTAACCAACCTAACCTAACCTAACCTAGCTTTTTTTGGCTACCTAACCTAACCTTACCTATAAATATAGGTTAGGTTAGGTTAGGTAGGGTTGGTTAGGTTCGGTCATATATCTACGTTAATTTTAACTCCAATAAAAAAAAATTGACCTCATACATAGAGAAAAGGGTTGCTTTATCATTTCATAAGAAAAAAATTATAGTAAATATATTAATTCAGGAAAACTTGGCTTATTAGGCAAATCGGGCTTTGAATAGTAGGCTGAGAAGTGAGTTCTGGCTACTAGGTACGACATATATATATATATATATATATATATATATATATATATATATATATGTCGTACCTAGTAGCCAGAACACACTTCTCAGCCTACTATGCAAGGCCCGATTTGCCTAATAAGCCAGGTTTTCATGAAATAATTGTTTTTCGACTACCTAACCTACCTAACCTAACCTAACCTAACTTTTTCGGCTACCTAACCGAACCTAACCTATAAAGATAGATTAGGTTAGGTTAGGTAGGGTTGGTCAGGTTCGGTCATATATCTACGTTAATTTTAATTCCAATAACAAAAAATTGACCTCATACATAATGAAATGGGTAGCTTTATCATTTCATAAGAAAAATTAGAGAAAATATATTAATTCAGGAAAACTTGGCTAATTAGGCAAATCGGGCCTTGCTTAGTAGGCTCAGAAGTGCGCTCTGGCTACTAGGTACGACATATATATATATATATATATATATATATATATATATATATATATATATATATATATATATATATATATGTCGTACCTAGTAGCCAGAACTCACTTCTCAGCCTACTATTCAAGGCCCGATTTGCCTAATAAGCCAAGTTTTCCTGAATTAATATATTTACTATAATTTTTTTCTTATGAAATGATAAGCAACCCTTTTCTCTATGTATGAGGTCAATTTTTTTTTATTGTAGTTAAAATTAACGTAGATATATGACCGAACCTAACCAACCCTACCTAACCTAACCTAACGTATATTTATAGGTAAGGTTAGGTTAGGTAGCCAAAAAAAGCTAGGTTAGGTTAGGTTAGGTAGGTTAGGTAGACGAAAAAACATTAATTCATGAAAACTTGGCTTATTAGGCAAATTGGGCCTTGAATAATAGGCTGAGAAGTGCGTTCTGGCTATTAGGTACGACATATATATATATATATATATATATATATATATATATATATATATATATATATATATATATATATATATATATATATATATATATATATGTCGTACCTAATAGCCAGAACGCACTTCTCAGCCTACTATTCAAGGCCCGATTTGCCTAATAAGCCAAGTTTTCATGAATTAATGTTTTTTCGTCTACCTAACCTACCTAACCTAACCTAACCTAGCTTTTTTTGGCTACCTAACCTAACCTTACCTATAAATATAGGTTAGGTTAGGTTAGGTAGGGTTGGTTAGGTTCGGTCATATATCTACGTTAATTTTAACTCCAATAAAAAAAATTGACCTCATACATAGAGAAAAGGGTTGCTTTATCATTTCATAAGAAAAAAACTATAGTAAATATATTAATTCAGGAAAACTTGGCTTATTAGGCAAATCGGGCCTTCAATAGTAGGCTGAGAAGTGAGTTCTGGCTACTAGGTACGACATATATATATATATATATATAAAAGCTTTTCGTTAACATATGTCACTGGTAGTGCTGTTTGCCACAATTATTTGTACCGTCTGTAGCACTCACAAGTTTCAGAACCGTCTAAGACCCCGGCATGCCAAAGGAGGAATTGACGGTAAAACAACACATCCTCGACTCAAGTCCATTACATCCAGCGGTCAACCCCACAGACGCATTCATAAATTTTAATATGCTGTTCATTCAAAACGGGAATTTTCTCAAGTATAAATTAATATTATAATATATTAGCATATTGTGTATATATTGGCATAGGTTAGGTTAGGTCAGGTGTTTAGGTTCTGTTGGCGATTATTTGTATTTGTAGTACGTAGGTGAAGCATTTACAGCGTTGTGGTTCGAACAAAATTCGTCAGTGAAGCACTTGTTCCGGATATGTTCGAACGTCAGCAGTTGTGAGTCGTGTGTAAACCGCTTTTCATTCATAAACAGGGGGTTTGGCGGGTGCATGGAATCACTTTTGGATCTTTGTTTGGAGGACGGGCTGCGGTAAAAAGGCTTCGTCTTTACCTGAAGCATTGTCAAGTTCAACACAAGCTTGGCCACTGTTCAGCCCGTCCTTCAAACAAAGACCCAAAAGTGATTCCATCCACCCGCCAAACCCCCTGTTTATGAATGAAAAACGGTTTACACACGACTCACAACTGCTGACGTTCGAACATATCCGGAACAAGTGCTTCACTGACGAATTTTGTTCGAACCACAACGCTGTAAATGCTTCACCCACGTACTACAAATACAAATAATCGCCAACAGAACCTAAACACCTAACCTAACCAGTGCCTAAATATGAACAATATGCAAAAATAAAATAAGATTAATTTATATTAGATAAAATTCCAATCTCGAATGAAAAACACATTAAAATTGATGAATGCGTCTTTGGGGTCGGCCGCTGGATGGAACGGACTTAGTTTGAGGACGGGTTGTTTGCAGAACTTCCACTTTGTCCAGAACTCTACAGAAGACTGTATGGGAATAACCTGGTCAGCCTTGACACTGCGTCAAGGAAGAATAGCATCGTCGTCAAACATTTTTCTTACGTCTAAATATATTTTGATTCATCAAAGAAACAAAATATTATTCTGAATTATTTTGTAATTATAAGAGATTTATCAAATATCATTCCAATATTCGTTCCTTCGTGACCCCCCAAAGATTCATCCATGAACGTTAACGGACTGTACATTCAAAATTGATATGTTCCTATACATAAATCAAATTTTATATATTGGAATTTTGTATATAGTTAGACCTAGGTTAGGTGTTTAGGTTCTGTTGGTAACTATTTGTATTTGCAGTATGTGGGAGAAGCATTTACGGATATGTAGTTCGAACAGAGGTCGTCCGCGAAACACTCTTTACGAAAATTTTGAATGCTATCAGTTGTAACTCAACCCGTCATCATCAACAAAGACAAAGGCCAGTACCCAAATTTCCTGTTTATGAATGAAAAATGGTTTGCACACGACAACTGATGTTCGAACATTTCTCGAACAGTGGCTCCCTAACAACCTCTGTTCGAATCACACCTCCATAAATGCTTCACTCACGTAATACAAATAATTGTCAACAGAATCAAAACTCATAATCTATAAACCCAAAAAAATTCAGTATATATAATAACATAAATTTATATTTGGAAAAAAATACGTTTGAATTTCTAGGGTAGTTATGACTGAGGAGCGAATGTGTGTGGTCGATCACAGCCTGGTCCAGCCTACAGCCTCAGAATTGCATGTTTGGCATCTTTTACAGGTGTTCCCTTTGTCATATATTGTTTTACATTTTCCCCAATATTAGTTTCTCCAAATGCTTTTGTATATGCAAATTTTTTATTGTAAAATGCTTTCTTGTATGTGTCTAACCATATTATTTGTATGTAATGTATTTTGTTTTGTTCATCTAACAAAGAAGATGAATTTATATGTATATATAAAACCGTTTGTAAGAAATAAAATTGTGACTTAAATTTTGGTTATATCTTGCCTACCATCTGGACTTGAAACAGATTTTCATGTTTCATTTCGCACGTGTGAGTAGTTGCCCGGCGTGCGTGGTGGTTGGATACTCGTCGTTGCTGATGTGGCTTGTGTGATGAGGGGTCTCTTCCCCCCCCCCCTACCCCCCCCGTTGTGCGGACTCGTTCGGTGGGTCTCGAATTTACTGGGCGGGCTGCGGGCTGATTATCCTGCCGTAGAACTCATTTTGTGTGATATACTCCGTGTCTCCGTCGCAGCGATCTATGGTGTGGAATTGATGTCTTCGCATCGAGCTATTGTGAAGTTTGCGGAAGAGGACAACTACCGGGTGTTTTTACGTAGCTACGAGGGACGAACCTTGCAACTGCCGGACGCTGCTGGTACAGTGACTGCTTCTGACCGGAGTGGTGCTCTCACCTTTGTCAGCGTTCATGGTGCGTCCCTGGAGTTTCCAGAGGAGCTGCTGCGGAGGTACTTCAGGCAGTATGGCACTGTCGTGAGTGTTAGATTGAACGTGCTTTCCTCTGGAAAATTTAAGGGTGTTCGGAAGAATATTTGCACTCTGGGGATGCGGCTGAGGTCGGACATCCTGTCCTCTGTGCGACTCCTGGGGTACTACGTCCGTGTGTACTACGCACGTCAGCCAAGAACCTGTTTTTGCTATGGTTTGTTGGGCCATCTGGCTGCTGGGTGCTCAGCCGATGTCGTCGCTCCGCTGAACCTCTTTCGTCAGGAGGATTTCCCGCCACTCACTGTGGAGGAGGCCTCAGTGAACTTGTGAACGACCCTTTGGCTGCTGCGTCGCGTCCTGTGTCGACCGGTGCGCCTGCTGATGCCGGGGCTTGTCCGCCAGAGTACCGTCCTCAGTTGGTCTTAACTGTTCCTGGTGCTGCTGTGGGTCTTCCAGGTGCTCCCTCTACATCTCCACCGTCTTCAGCTTCTCTGGCTCCTGTCTCCGATGATTGTCCCGGCCGTGCTGGGAGGTGGTGTGGGTGCGGGGCCTCCTGTGGTGTTGGGGCCGGTCCCCCATGTCGTTGAGGCTGCTGCCGTCTTGCGTGGTGCGCCGGTGCGCCCACCCTGTAATATCAGTGCTTCTGGTTCCGCCTCCGGCTCTGACGACGTGCAGCAGGATCCCAAGCTTTCGCGGCGTTCTCCTTCTGCATGGGCCGACGTGGGTGACTTTGACGATTGCGAGTCGCCTGATGGGGTGGTTCCTGGGGAGTTGGTGTCTACTGCGACGGTGGTGGCAGAGGTTCATGCACCTACTTCTGCTGCCGGTGGAACTGTTTCTGATTTAACGTCTGTTTTTTCTCCTGCAGGGGTTTCTCCGCAGTTGGGGGGAAGGGGGGGGATGGTTCCTCCTGAGGTAGATGGTGAGGATGCTGGTGTGAGCCGAGACCTTGTGGTGGTCTTGAAGAAGAATGTCCACCGTGGGGGGTCTGTGCCGGTGCCCGGCCCTGTGGATGTTCCGGCGGGGGCCCCCCTGTGGTGTTGCCCCCCCTCACCTGTCACCTCCTGTGGTGCCACCTGCTGTGTTCCCGGCCCCTGTGCAACCGCCTCGTTCCATGGGCGCGGTTGCCCGTTCGAAGGGTGCCGTACCTGGTGTTGAGGATCTGACTGATTATTTTATACTAACCTTCGGCCACCCGTCATGTGGGAGTGGCGCCGCTTCCCCTCGACCCTAGTATTATTTGGGTCCCCCCGGTGTGCACGCCGTCTATCAGAGGGGTCTGGATATTATGGAATCCCCTTCTTTGTATTTTCGTCGTGATGAGCGGCCTGCTGAGTGGCTGCGTTAGGAGGCGTACGGTATCCGGTGTCCGAGACATCTGTTTCCGCACAAATACGGAGTCTAATGACCTGTTTTATGTAATGTATTGTGTGTGTGTTTAATTATTATCCCAAATCCTTATCCATCCTGAACCCCTTCCAAGTGCTGTATAGTTGTGGTGGCTTGGCGCTTTCTCGCGATACTTTCCTCCCCTCTTGTGTTCCCGTTATTGTACCGTATAGCATTGTGCTAAGTATTGTATTGTGCTGTTTCTGTCCAAACACAATACTGAGGCTACACCGGAAGTTTAAATAAATAAGTCATCATATAAACGTTCATTGAATACAAATCATCCAATCCAGGATGGCCCATCTAGTGGGATATTACATTTATATTATTTTATATAGTATTGTCATCAATTGATTCAATGCCCCTATACATTTATGCTTAGAACACGTATATCTCTATATTTACGTATGGAACAAGTATATATCACTACATTTATGTATAGAACGAGAATACTTTTATGTAGAGAACACGTATCTCTACGGGTATATATGGGTATATCTAATGTAATATACATTACATATACCCATATATATATACGCCGGTGGCTGTGTGGATAGCACGCTAGAGACGTGATCCTGTGGCCCGGGTTCAATTTCCGGCGCCGGCGAGAAACGATGAGCAGAGTTTCTTTCACCCTGATGCCTCTGTTACCTAGCAGTAAATAGGTACCTGGGAGTTAGTCAGCTGTCACGGGCTGCTTCCTGTGTGTGTACTCACCTAGTTGTACTCACCTAGTTGTGCTTGCGGGGGTTGAGCTCTGGCTCTTTGGTCCCGGCTCTCAACTGTATCTGTGTGTGTGTGTGTGTGTGTGTGTGTGTGTGTGTGTGTGTGTGTGTGTGTGTGTGTGTGTGTGTGTGTGTGTGTGTGTGTGTGTGTGTTTGTGTATGTGTGTGTGTATGTGTATGTGTGTATGTGTACTCACTTAGTTGTGTCTGCAGGATCGAGCATTGACTCTTGGATCACGCCTAACGTTCAAGCAGGTGTGTGTGTGTGTGTGTGTGTGTGTGTGTGTGTGTGTGTGTGTGTGTGTGTGTGTGTGTGTGTGTGTGTGTGTGTGTGTGTGTGTGTGTGTGTGTGTGTGTGGAAAAAAATAGTAGTTAGTGATTAGTGACAGTTGATCGAAAGTTGAGAGGGCCGCCGAAATCCCTGCAAGCACAACTAGGTGAATACATTTATGTATAGCACAAGTGTATCTCTATACATAAATGTATACAACATGTATATGCAGCGGCTGCCTCCTGTAGAGCCCAGTAGCTGCCTCGTGTAGAGCCCGGCTGCTGCCTCGTGTAGAGCCCAGCAGCTGCCTCGTGTAGAGCCCAGCAGCTGCCTCGAGTAGAGCCCAGCAGCTGCCTCGTGTAGAGCCCAGCAGCTGCCTCGAGTAGAGCCCAGCAGCTGCCTCGAGTAGAGCCCAGCAGCTGCCTCGTGTAGAGCCCAGCAGCTGCCTCGAGTAGAGCCCAGCAGCTGCCTCGAGTAGAGCCCAGCAGTGGCCTAGTGTTGAGCCCTGCAGCTGCCTCGTGTAGAGCCAAGCAGCTGCCTCGTGTAGAGCCCAGCAGCTGCTGAGCTCTAGGAGCCTGGAACCTCCTACCCCCAGAGCGGGAGACTATAGCTCCATCAACCACGCTATGATTAGCCACAATAAGGAATGATTCCAGAAACCACTCAATGCTGCCCAACTGCTACTCTAAGCCTTCCCTTGGCTTAGTTGCCTCTCGAATCCTTTCCTATTGTGGCTGTTCACGTCGTGGTTGATAGAGCCACCGTCCCCCGTTCATGGAGTCGGAAGTTCGAGGCTCCTATAGGGCCCAAGTGAATGAAATACCTCTATGTATTAATGGATACAGTCAGTATATATAATCCTGTACTTTCATCAGCATATAATTGAACCAAAGTGAGGATGTAAGGATTCCTCTCTATCCCACTATCAGTCTTGAGGAAAAAAGGATTTTCCTCGTTTTAATGATAACGGTTGAAGGTGTCAACGTACGTTGTGGCCTAATGAGGCGAGGGGGCTTCCTCCTCACTACAGAGCTCCGGCTGCGTGTCTGGCGTGGCAATTACTCTATATTGAGCTCTCGTCGGGGTTAGTCGACATGGATTCCATCATAGCTTGGTGACTATTCTAGTGCTCTCTTTGTGGTTAGGTGACTAGTATAGCGTGTCGGGATAGGTGACTAGTCTAGTGCTCTAACCTAGACTAGGTGACAACCCATGTTCCTACTCGAGTCATGCTGATAGGTAGTACTATAAGTACTCCTAACTAGTACTAACGGTACTCATAGCTAATACTTACAACACTCATCGTTAGTACGATAGCACTCGTAGACAATACTAACAGTTAGTACGATAGCACTCGTAGACAATACTAACAGTTAGTACAGACAGCCGACGGTGAAGGACTGTTCCAGGCGGGGTGAGTGAAGGAGGTGAACACTTGTGGTGTGTGCGGGAGCGAGCTGGTGGTGATGACCATGGCCTGGTCGTGGCTGGTGGTGGCAGGTCAGGTGAGTCCTTCACTTATTCATTAATGCATTTGAATGAGATAACTGAGACATTTCTGATGAATATATTTGCTATATACTTTGAGAGTCCCAGACTATGTGTAATTATTGTGGCTTTATTTTTTTATAAGAGAGAGAGAGAGAGAGAGAGAGAGAGAGAGAGAGAGAGAGAGAGAGAGAGAGAGAGAGAGAGAGAGAGAGAGAGAGAGAGAGAGAGAGAGAGAGAGAGAGAGAGAGAATTTTTTTTTTTTAATGATTAGGAAGGAATCTGTGATGTGTTAGGAATTTTCTTCAAGGCACTGTTGGACACAAATTCCGAAAGCTCGCTCTCTCTCTCTCTCTCTCTCTCTCTCTCTCTCTCTCTCTCTCTCTCTCTCTCTCTCTCTCTCTCTCTCTCTCTCTCTCTCTCTCTCTCTCTCTCTCTCTCTCTCTCTCTCTCTCTCTCTCTCTCTCTCTCTCTCTCTCTCTCTCTCTCTCTCTCTCTCTCTCTTTTTCTACAAAAAAAATACAATGCCTCGCTTCACTTTATTATCGTGGTGAAGCCAAAGAGAACGAGTTCGCTTTTGTACGAAGCTCTAATGTAAACTTTGAAGTTTAGTCGAGTGTGTCACAACTCACTATTAATAGTATAAGTAGGAAAGAAAGGTTATCATCTCTATTTCTAAAAGTAAACTTAATAATAGGTTCAAGTTCATTAAGTCTGGTCCTAAAAGCCTCCAGGTTCGAAACTGACAACGACGTGAGCAGAGTGAAGGTATTTCCTATTGTTGGGCATGATGCCGGAGATTGGTCCTGTTTCCTGATATTCCTCGAATACATTAGCAGGCACAACGCTAATTGGAGGCCCCATTATCTTGCCAATTTACTGACGATAGAATTAGGAGCAGAAGGAGGAGTAATTGTAGCGGTTACCTGTCAGTGCTTACCTATCTGTGACTACGTGGAAGTGAGGTTTAGCTCTTCAAGCCCGGCCTAATATTAGCCTTGTTTTACCTGTTGTATTATAGCTTAACTATTCTGACGTTACAGTTCCTTGTTGAATCCGGCCTTGAAGATGCGGAGAGAGGTGGCTTCCACAACTTCTTCTTTTAGTGCATTCCACTTGTTGACTGCCTGTACAGGTTACGAGTCTTTTCTTGCATATTCTTAGACACATTTGTGTTTCCGGCTTGTACTTGAGTCCTCTTGTCCTACTTCCTATCAACTTAATGAGGCTGGTCTTACACACCTTGTCTCTCCCTCTGGGTATCTTGTAAGTTGTGATCATATCTCTTTCTTTAGTCTTCCAGGGTTGTGAAGTCCAGTTCCTTCAGCCTATCCTCATAGCTTAACCTTAGTACTTGTGACACTAAACTCGTTGCAAACCTCTACACTATTTCGATTGTAGCTTTATGCTCCACGAGGATTGGGTTCCAGGCCGGTGCTGCATATTCCAGTATTGGTCTATGGCGATCTAATCTATGACATCTATTTGTTTATTTTACTTGTTTACTGTTCATACTCTGAAGAAGCGTTCCCCCCCCACCCATCCCCGTGGCCCACTTTCGTGTCTCGCTCCATACACATCTTTTCGTTATGTTACTACTCAACCGAAATAAACCGAGTCTCTATTTCATATTCCCTTGAGTATTTTGTATATCTGGAACATGTTTAATTTATTTCTCGTGTGTCTGTGTTAAACTAAGATCCGTTGCCTCACTCTGTACCCGCCGCTGAGACTCCCAGGTGTCTTGTTACTAACGCTTCGATTAATAAATCCCAGTGTCCTATTTGCCTTATTACGAACATTCATGCATTGATCCTTCTGTTTTAAATTCTTACTAATCATAACTCACATATCCCTTTCGCAATCCGACTTCGCAATCTCAACACCATCTAGCTCGTATCTTGTAACTCTATCATCATTACCTAGCCTCAGAACTTTACATTTATCAGCATTAAACTCCATCTGCCAACCTTTTGACCATTTCAAAACCCTATCTAGATCAACTTGACGTGATAGTGAGTCTTCTTCCGTGTTAATTTCCCTACCGATTTTTGTATCATCTGCAAATTTGCAGATGTTGCTACTCAAACCTAAATCTAAATCATTTATATATATTAAAAACAACAGAGGTCCCAGGACAGAGCCTTGAGGCACTCCACTAACAACATTATCCCACTCTGACTGTACTCCATTTATACTAACTCTCTGTTTCCTTTGGAATAGCCATGCCCTAATCCAACTTAACATAGCACCCCTAATACCATGAGCCTCTATTTTTTTTAATCAGTCTTTCATGTGGCACTGTATCAAAAGCTTTGCAAAAGTCAAGGTACACATCATCACAAACCTTACCACTATCAACTGTTTCAACTATGCTGGAATAAAAATAATAGCAAATTTGTAAAACATAACATCTGTAAAACCACGTTGTGAATCATTTATTAATTTATTTTTTTCAAGATGAAGACGAATGATATTTGCAGTTATCGATTCAAGGAACTTTTCCACAATAGACGTTAAGCTAATTGGCTCATAGTTTGACGCAAGTGATTTATCTCCTTTCTTAAAAATTAGTACCACATTAGCAACCTTCCACGACTCTCTCACTCTGCCTGACTAATAATTTATTATATATGATAGACAATGGCTCACAAAGTATTCGTCTACCATATCCTTAAAGGACCTATCCTTTCTCTGCATTCCTTAAGCACCCTGACAAACACTTCGTCCGGCCCTGGGGATTTGTTTGGTTTGAGTTGCACTATTTGTTTAATAACATCCTCCCTGGTAACTGCTAAACTAATCAGCCTGTCCTCATACCTAGACTTGATATGTTGACTGACAAGTCTATGTAGACATACATAGACTTGTTCGGCTGACGGCATAATGTTCAGTTCTTCTTTAGTAAATACAGAGATAAAATATTTATTAAAAATACTACACATCTCTTCGTCATTATCCGTTATCTGACCTGTCTCGGTTTTTAAAGGACCTTTCCTTTCTCTAATCTTTGTTCGATATAACTGAAAAAATTAGAATTTGTCTTTGCTTGTCCTGCTATACGAACTTTAGTTTCTTTTTGCCCTCCTTATCTCTTTTTTTTAACATGTCTAACCAGTTGCACGCATTCTTGTTTAAACTGACTTCCCATTCCTAATCCCTTTTGTACCAAGCTCTCTTTCTACCTATAAAGTTCTTCAGATCCTTTGTTATCCATTTTCCATTAGTATTCCATTGTTATCCATTAGTATTCGATCTATTCGATCAGTGTTGAGAATGCAAAAGGGATCTGGGAGGGGGAGTAGAAATAGCCTAAGCTACTCTATCCCTTTGAGATGTATTTCTTTCTTGTCTCAATAAACATACTTGAACTTGAAGGGATCTGGGGGTTATGATTAGCAAGAACCCAAAACCCAAAAACCAATGCCAAGATGTTCGCAGCAAGGCAAACAGGACACTGAGATTCATTAATGGAAGCGCCACCAACAAGACACCCCTGAAGACACTATATCCCATATTCCTATAACCCTCTTCCCTATTGTTTTTATGTTTTCATAGTTTCGCATCCAATTCATTTCTCTAATAGTTACTGGATTATTTGACTGTGTCAGGAGACTCTTATGTGATAAGAGTATAAAAACTCCAGTAGCTTTGTTAAGCATGTTCTGTCGTCTATGTTTAGGGTTTATTGTGGATAAATTATACCCAAGTATAATTCATTAATTATACGCAAATATAATCCATTAGTGTCTCACTAGTACTGTGCCTGTCAGGGACACTCGTCAGTCGTCGAGTGGTCACTGACTGTTGTCATATATATATTGTAAGGTGTGACTATGACATATGTTTCTTGTGCTTCAACCAGAGGATGCTGACCCTGTGGAAAGTTGTCATGGTGCTCGTTATTATATTTCTGATGGTGGTGCTGCTGGTGCTTCCCTGGTCCTCCAGGTGCTTCATCCTCGTCCTTATAGCAGGTAAAGTGTTGGAGTCACTCTTACTTTGTTGCCCTCAGAGTGAAGTGTATTATGTTGTGGTGGGTTTTCCAATGACGTGTGAGTGGGAGGGTGAGTGGGAGGGTAAGAGAGAGTGAGAGAGTGAATGTCTAAATGTGAATTTGCTATTTACTATTTGTGCCTGCAGTTTCGAGATGTTAGATCTTGGACCCCGCCTTTCACACCGTCGGTTGTCTAATGTACTGTCTCCCGACCTTTTTCCTATATTATATCTTCACATGTTTCTAACACACACACACACACACACACACACACACACACACACACACACACACACACACACACGGGACGCCGGTGGCTATGTGGACAGCACGCTGGGCACGTAATCCTGTAGCCCGGGTTCGATTCCCGGCGCCGGCGAGAAACAAAAATGCGCAGAGTTTTTCACCCTGATGCCTCTGTTTACCTAGAAGTAAATAGGTACCTGGGAGTTAGACAGCTGTTACGGGCTGCTTCGTGTGTATGTGTACCCACCTATTTGTGTCTGCAGGATCGAGCATTGACTCTTGGATCCCGCTTTTCCAGCATCGGTTGTTTACAGCAATGACTACGGTCCTATTTCCCTATCATACCTGGTTTTAAAATTATGAATAGTATTTGCTTCCACAACCTGTTCCCCAAGTGCATTCCATTTCCCCACTACTCTCACGCTAAAAGAAAACTTCATAACATCCCTGTGACTCATCTGAGTTTCCAGCTTCCACCCATGTCCCCTCGTTCTGTTACTATTCAGTGTGAACATTTCGTCTATGTTCACTCTGTCAATCCCCCTGAGTATTTTATACGTTCCTATCATGTCCCCCCTCTCCCTTCTTCTTTCTGGTGTCGTAAGGCACAGTTCCTTCAGGAGCTCATCATACCCCATCCCTCGTAACTCTGGGACGAGTCTCGTTGCAAACCTCTGAACCTTTTCCAGTTTCCTTATACGCTTCTTCAGATGGAGACGCCATGATGAGGCGGCATACTCTAAGACATATGCAACAGCCTCGCATATGCCGCAGATGTTATTCTTTTTATGTTGGCCTCAGGAGACAGGTTTGGTGTGATATTAACTCCTAGGTTTTTCTCTCCGTCCGTTTCATGAAGTTCTTCATATCCTATTCTGTATCCTGTGTCTGGCCTTCTGTTTCCACCGCCTAGTTCCATTACTTTGCATTTACTCGGGTTGAACTTTAGCAGCCATTTGTTGGACCATTCATTCAGTCTGTCTAGGTCATCTTGTTGCCTCCTACTATCATCCTCTGTTTCAATCCTCCTCATAATTTTTGCATCATCAGCAAATATTGAGAGAAAAGAGTCTATACCCTCTGGGAGATCATTTATATATATCAGAAACAGTATAGGTCCAAGGACTGACCCCTGCGGTACTCCACTGGTGACCTCTCGCCAATCTGAGACCTCACCCCTCACAGTGACTCGTTGTCTTCTGTTCCTGAGGTACTCCCTTATCCAATGGAGTACCTTCCCTTTCACTCCTGCCTGCATCTCCAGCTTTTTCACTAGCCTCTTGTGTGGTACTGTGTCAAAGGCTTTCTGGCAATCCAAAAATATGCAGTCTGCCCACCCTTCTCTTTCTTGCCTGATTTTTGTTGCCTGGTCGTAGAATTCAATTAATCCTTTGACGCAGGACTTGTCATCCCTGAACCTATGTTTTGCTGTTACAAAGTTCTTTCGCTCCAGATGCTCCACTAGCTTTTTTCGCACAATCTTCTCCATCAGCTTGCATGGTATGCAGGTTAGGGACACTGGCCTGTAGTTCAGTGCCTCCTGTCTATCCCCTTGTATATCGAGACTACATTAGCCGCTATCCCAATTCTTGACAGTTCCCCTGTTGCCAGTGATTTGTTATACACTCTGGAGAGTGGCAGGCACAGTGCTTCTGCTCTTTCCTTTAGTATCCAAGGGGAGATTCCATCTGGGCCTATAGCCTTTGTCACATCCAACTCTAGTAAACACTTCCTTACTTCCCCACTGGTAATCTCAAACTCTTCTAGTGGCTCTTTATTAACTATTCCCTCTCTTATCTCTGGAACGTCTCCTTGCTCTAAAGTGAAGACCTCCTGGAATTTCTTATTCAGTTCCTCGTACACTACCTTGTCGTTTGTAGTGAATCCGTCTGCCACTATTCTTAATTTCATTACCTGTTCCTATACTATTGTTTTTCTCCTGATGTGGGTGTGCAGCAATTTAGGCTGAGTCTTTGCCTTGCTTGCGATGTCATTTTCATATTGCCCTTCTGCCTCTCTTCTCATCCTGACGTATTCATTCCTGGCATTCTGGTATCTTTCTCTGCTCTCCAGTGTCCTGTTATTTCTATAGTTTCTCCACGCCCTTTTACTTTGCTGCTTAGCTAGCCTACATCTCTGATTAAACCATGGGTTTGTGTGTATGTGCACGCGCGCGCGTGTGTGTGTGCGTGCGTGCGTGCGTGCGTGTGTGTGTGTGTGTACCTAACTCTTCTCATACATGAGAGAGGCTATACACAGCTTAAACTCATATCCGAGATATATGAGGCAGCTGGAGCATACCTCTGTTAACTTGATTTGTATAATATCCTCATATAGGTGATTTCGTGCGCCAATTCGTCTGTGTGATTGTGCATGTATGTATATGTGTGTGTGTGCTCGGCAAGAGGCCCTCGCTGGGTTGAGCTTCAGCTCCTGAGCATCGCCTCTCGAGAAAAGCTAGTATAGTTTATCATAATGCCTGCAATTAATTGATACTGATATTTACAATTTTGTATTGTGTATTGATTGTTATATAAGCACATACAATCCGATACACAGCAGTATACCTTATGAAATATACCACCTTTGAGACCCATTTAATTTACGTTAATTTACAACATTAAGGATCTTTCAGGGATGATTGCTGTAGTGATGAGGATTGGATACTGCCGCTTTCTACCAGAACCCGAGGAACCCGAGGAATCCGTGGGACCCGTGGGACTTAGGGCGAGACCCGCCCTGAGGTGTGTACGACCCCACGACGGCCGACCACCTCCCTCCCAACCACGACCCTTCAGCCAGACCACCTCCGGCGGCCGGCCAAGGGAACACACAAACACTACTCCAGAACAATCGTCACTACCCAACTACATATATGGCTTTAGCGATCCCCTCGCCTCGTCTGCACCCTCTGCAGGAGGCTCCTTCAAGCCTCCCGGAGGAGCCATGCTGGCCATCAGCCGACCGGAAGACGGACTTCCTAGTTACGAAGAAGCCATAAGGACAGCGGCTCAGCCTTCCAAATTATAAGCCAGCGGTGAAGGGTCAGCAGGTGTTGCAAACTTTGTTTACCTTTATTATATATATTAGTCTTACGCGTAATTACAATTTTATGACATATACTCCTGTGTGTGTTTAAAATTTAAACACAATATATAGCAATTTTTCCGTTCTTTCCAATGATACCAAACAAATGTGAAGTCTCCGTGGTGTAGTGGTAAGACACTCGCCTGGCGTTCCGCGAGCGCTATGTCATGGGTTCGTATCCTGGCCGGGGAGGATTTACTGGGCGCAAATCCTTAACTGTAGCCTCTGTTTAACGCAACAGTAAAATGTGTACTTGGATGAAAAAACGATTCTTCGCGGCGGGGATCGTATTCCAGGGACCATAGGATTAAGAACCTGCCCGAAACGCTACGCGTACTAGTGGCTGTACAAGAATGTAACAACTCTTGTATATATCTCAAAAAAAAAAAAAAAAAAAAAAAAAAAAAAAAAAAAAAAAAAAAAAAAAAAAAAAAAAAAAAAAAAAAAAATGATCTTTCAATAAGACTTTTGTCCCGGACACTCGCGTCACGCCCAGCAAACAATAAACAAGTTCTTGTCCCGGACACTCGCGTCACGCCCAGCAAACAATAAACAAGTTCTTGTCCCGGACACTCGCGTCACGCCCAGCAAACAATAAACAAGTTCTTGTCCCGGACACTCGCGTCACGCCCAGCAAACAATAAACAAGTTCTTGTCCCGGACACTCGCGTCACGCCCAGCAAACAATAAACAAGTTCTTGTCCCGGACACTCGCGTCGCGCCCAGCAAACAATAAACAAGTTCTTGTCCCGGACACTCGCGTCACGCCCAGCAAACAATAAACAAGTTCCAAAAGTTAATAAAAACAAATTAAAAACTATTGGTAATTTTTCTGTGATGTTTGTTAGAGACGGTTCTTAAAATATGTGCACTTGTGCTCGGGTGGACTCACACATGCCAACATGTTCAATACAAGATGTATAACGCTCAATACAAGTTAGAATATAATTTTGAAGAACACCCCTTTAATGCACAGCTTTTGTCCTTGCTTGTATTTTGGTGTATGTGTGTTGTAGTCTGGTGTACATGTGTATGTATTTTAGGTATATGTGTATGTATTTTGGGTACATGTGTGTATTCTGGGTACATGTGTGTATTCTGGGTACATGTGTGTATTTTGGGTACATGTGTGTATTATGGGTAGCTTTGAGTTTTGTCGACGTCCTCTCTAATGTTGTCACAATTCATCTATCTATTGGTGGTCTCTTCTACTTGCTGTTGGAGATGGCTAATGACTTCCAGTGTTGACTCTAGGTGTCTCCTTATGAGACCAAACCTATATTTATAGGTATATAGCTTCAGTTCATGTTTGTACACTTAGGCAACAGCTTGGCGTTCCTCTTAGCATATTTGGTTAAATATGACCTCATTGCTGTCGTTCTTATAGTGTATGCTTTCTATGTTTTTATTTTCTTAGTGTCGGTATTAAAAGGAACAGTCAAGTTACCGAAAGTCACAGTAAAGTAACTCAAATAATTACTGAAGGATTTATTTTCTACCACGTTTCGTTCCACTCTGGAACATCTTCAGGTAAAGAATGAATACACAAGGTGCAATTTTGGCTTAAATGTACATATGGATGGGGTGAGTTTGAGTGGGGTGAGGTTGAGTGGGGTGAGTTTGAGTGGGGTGAGTTTGAGTGGGGTGAGGTTGAGTGGGGTGAGTTTGAGTGGGGTGAGGTTGAGTGGGGTGAGGTTGAGTGGGGTGAGTTTGAGTGGGGTGAGGTTGAGTGGGGTGAGGTTGAGTGGGGTGAGTTTGAGTGGGGTGAGTTTGAGTGGGGTGAGGTTGAGTGGGGTGAGTTTGAGTGGGGTGAGTTTGAGTGGGGTGAGGTTGAGTGGGGTGAGGTTGAGTGGGGTGAGTTTGAGTGGGGTGAGTTTGAGTGGGGTGAGTTTGAGTGGGGTGAGGTTGAGTGGGGTGAGGTTGAGTGGGGTGAGTTTGAGTGGGGTGAGTTTGAGTGGGGTGAGGTTGAGTGGGGTGAGTTTGAGTGGGGTGAGTTTGAGTGGGGTGAGGTTGAGTGGGGTGAGTTTGAGTGGGGTGAGTTTGAGTGGGGTGAGGTTGAGTGGGGTGAGTTTGAGTGGGGTGAGGTTGAGTGGGGTGAGGTTGAGTGGGGTGAGTTTGAGTGGGGTGAGGTTGAGTGGGGTGAGGTTGAGTGGGGTGAGTTTGAGTGGGGTGAGTTTGAGTGGGGTGAGGTTGAGTGGGGTGAGTTTGAGTGGGGTGAGTTTGAGTGGGGTGAGGTTGAGTGGGGTGAGGTTGAGTGGGGTGAGTTTGAGTGGGGTGAGTTTGAGTGGGGTGAGGTTGAGTGGGGTGAGGTTGAGTGGGGTGAGTTGAGTGGGGTGAGTTTGAGTGGGGTGAGTTTGAGTGGGGTGAGGTTGAGTGGGGTGAGGTTGAGTGGGGTGAGTTTGAGTGGGGTGAGGTTGAGTGGGGTGAGGTTGAGTGGGGTGAGTTTGAGTGGGGTGAGTTTGAGTGGGGTGAGGTTGAGTGGGGTGAGTTTGAGTGGGGTGAGGTTGAGTGGGGTGAGGTTGAGTGGGGTGAGTTTGAGTGGGGTGAGTTTGAGTGGGGTGAGGTTGAGTGGGGTGAGGTTGAGTGGGGTGAGGTTGAGTGGGGTGAGGTTGAGTGGGGTGAGTTTGAGTGGGGTGAGGTTGAGTGGGGTGAGTTTGAGTGGGGTGAGTTTGAGTGGGGTGAGTTTGAGTGGGGTGAGTTTGAGTGGGGTGAGGTTGAGTGAGGTGAGGAGAAGGGTCAAACGGATATGGAGGGATGGCAATCAAACCTAGGGAAAGGAATAGGGGAATACGGTAGGAGTAACGGAAGGTCGGGCCAGTCAACCATTAGGTAAGGCGTTGCTTGGTACTCTCGGTGGGTTGGGAGGACTCGTAGAGATCTCGCCGTTATCCGGTGTTTTGCGAGATCTGGATCTGAGTGTCGGCAAGATAGCGAAGTCGTTATTCTCTATATTCAGAGAAGGTCGTTTTTTTTCTCTTATAAGAATAGCATCTAGGATTTGCAACCTTCTTTGGTCTGTGGTGGATTCCAGGATTTTTTTGTAATTAAATACTAGCATGTTCCTAGTGAGTGTTGTGTAACGTACACTTTGCGTATGGTTTCTAGGGGCATCATCTTGTAGATTGCAGGACAGTCTTCACGAAAGCTTCGTGGTGGTCATACCAATATAAGTCATATCTAAGGTGACATCCTTCACGTGTAAATTGGTATGCCACGTGTGCTTTTTTTATACGCTTTTATTGTATTTACATTTACTATTCTGAATCGAATCAGCTTTAACGACTTTTTGCATCTAATCTGTTACATTTACTGACGGCTCTGGCAATGAAAAAGTTCTTCCTGGTGTTTCTATGACTCGTTTGCGTTTTCAGTTTCCATATATGACCCCCTCGTTCTGCTGTTCCTAGCTCTGAACCATGCTGCCTTGTTTGCCTCATTAATTTCACTTAGCATCTTGCATGTTGTTATCATATCCCCCCTACCTCTCATTTACTGTGTGTGTGTGTGTGTGTGTGTGTGTGTGTGTGTGTGTGTGTGTGTGTGTGTGTGTGTGTGTGTGTACTCACCTAGTTGTGTCTGCAGGATCGAGCATTGACTCTTGGATCCCGCCTTTCGAGCATTGGTTGTTTACAGCAATGACTCCTGTCCCATTTCCCTATCATACCTGGTTTTAAAATTATGAATAGTATTTGCTTCCACAACCTGTTCCTGAAGTGCATTCCATTTTCCCACTACTCTCACGCTAAAAGAAAACTTCCTAACATCTCTGTGACTCATCTGAGTTTCAAGCTACCATCCATCGTGTGTGTGTGTGTGTGTGTGTGTGTGTGTGTGTGTGTGTGTGTGTGTGTGTGTGTGTGTGTGTTTACTAGTGTTTTGCGGGGGTTGAGCTTTGCTCTTTGGGCCCGCCTCTCAACTGTCAATCAACTGTTTACTAACTACTTTTTTTTTTTTTTTTTTTTTCCACACCACACACACACACACACACACACCCGGGAAGCAGCCCGTGACAGCTGACTAACTCCCAGGTACCTATTTACTGCTAGGTAACAGGGGCACATAGGGTGAAAGAAACTTTGCCCATTTGTTTCTGCCTCGTGCGGGAATCGAACCCGCGCCACAGAATTACGAATCCTGCGCGCTATCCACCAGGCTACGAGGCCCCCCCGCTATCCACCAGGCTACGAGGCCCCCCTCGTAGGCCCCCCTGTGTGTGTGTGTACGCGCGCGCTTCTTACCATTTACTGAAAATTACGAATTATGAATTTAGAGAAAAGATCCAAAATTAAGATTTTTCACAGTAGGCATCTAAGACGTGACCGACACTGACCTTAGCTGCTGCGGGCGACAACACTCCCCCCCCACACATGACCACTTCCCAAACTGAAACATATTGAGAAAAAACAAAACAATTAATACCACATCAAAATATTCAAGTGATTTCAATAATAAAATGATTAACGTATCTGTCAATATTCACAACAATCTGAGCACAGAAATTGAATAGTAAATAAGGTATACACTTATACCTTATTTATAAGGTATAAATCCTGATATAATACAATTATTCATACTTGTATTATATCAGAGTGTATTCATACACGGTAGACTTATACCGAATCTTCCTCCTCCCCCCCCCCCAAGGCCGAATTACTGACCCCGTATAGGCTGCGACCCCCACAACATGCTAACTCCGGGGTACCCACTCACTAGGTGAACAGAGGCATTACGTGAAAGAAAATGTGTCCAGCCATTTTTTAATCCCGCCTGGGATTCGAACCCGGAATTCTCGATTGTGCGTCGAGAACGAAGCCGACTGTACAACCGAGACCCTCCCGGGAATATATAAGAGAAACATGATATCCTGCGTGAATGAGACCCGCAGCTTCCCGCAACGTGAGATATCGCAACAATTTGTTGGATTTTCAACGGCGTGAGATTTTACAAAAATATATATATTACAGTAATGAAATAATATAATTGATGTGATACTTTAATGCGACGATATATAGTTTACAGCTGGGGGGGGGGGAGGGGAGAGAGAGAGAGAGAGAGAGAGAGAGAGAGAGAGAGAGAGAGAGAGAGAGAGAGAGAGGGGTGGAG